GGTCGACTCTGAGGATCCCTTCTGCGTCGAACGCGAAACAATTCGGGATACCACGTATTCCCGAGCAGCTGCCCGTCCGTCGAGTCTTATCGCGGGATCGCCTCGAGCCTCGTTACGGCCCGAGTCTTATCGCATCGCCGTCAGCATGCTCTCGTCGCTGCTGCAGCAGCCCGCGCCGCCGCCGGCCAGCGAGCCCGACGCCGTGTCTCCGGCGACGCTCATGAAGGAGAACGGCAGGAGTCGCAGCGCCTCGTCGTGGCGCGAGGCGGACCTGAGCCCCATCGCTGTCATCCACGAGCTCATGCACGGCGCCCACTGCCGCCACGCGTCCTCCGTGCAGCGCCTGGGCGCGAAGCCCATCCTGCACACGTCGAGCGAGAGCCTGGCGGACTTCGCGGACCACGTCGACTTCGAGCTGGCCGACGGCACGATGGATTACTGGTCGGGCTGCCCGCACTTCGCGGAGGGCGGCGCGCCGGCGTCGCCCCGATGCACCTTCGTGCCGGGGTCGCCCCGCTGCGCCGGGTCGCCCCGCACGCCGGGCTCCTTCGCGCGGCGGCGCTGCGGCGACCGCGCGGCGCCGCGGCCGGGCCCGGCGACGCCGCAGCGGGGCTGCCCGCCGGCGGCGCCGCGGCCGCCGTCGCCGGGCCACGGCGTGCGGCCGCCGTCGCCGGGCCACGGCATGTTCTTCTCCTTTGACGACGGGGACGCGACGCCGCGCCTCCCCGTCTTCGGGGCCGCGTGACGACGCCGCCGGCTCCCGGCGACCCGGCGCCCGCGCCGCTCGCCGTCGGACCCCGCCACAGAACGCACGCGACATCCGCGATCTCTTTAACACCACTTCTTAGCTCTTCTGACCTCGACACTAGCGAGAAGACCGCGACCTCTGAAACACAAAATTTAGGCAGCTACTGGGCCGCCGCGACGCACGTCGCCTCGTGCGCGGCGACCGCGTCGAAGCCGCCGCGGAAGCCGCAGCCGCGCTCGCACTCGTACTCGACCTCGCGCGCCTGCCGCAGGGCGCGCTTCTCGGCGATGAGCTCGAGGCCGAGCTCGAGCTTGTTGAAGAACCACGTCGTCAGCGCGAGGCGGTCCGCGCGCGACGGTAGGACCGCGTGCTCGAGCGCCGACCGGAAGACGAGGAGGCGGTCGTGCCGCGGCGCG